GTATTCGTAGTATCCATAACTAGTGCATTGTGTAACTGGTTTAGGAGGTTAAATTTGTGATTTTTCTTTGTTCGCTTCTCATCTCAGCTGTATAGGTAAACTGGGCTGTCAGCTGATTTGAGCTGTGAGGTGTTTCATAGACTACTAGAACGCCTGAGTCCTGATTTAAAATTTTCCTGCACTGAGTCTGAGGCTTGTATTTATAGTCTCTACTTGATTATTCAATCTATTTTTTAAATGGTTCATAAACCAAAACTTGATCTGTCCACAATATAAATTGGAAGAAAAAGTGTAGGAGCTGTGCAAGTTTAAGTCTCGTAAGGTATTGGTGAAAGTTCTGGAGTTGGCTTCGGAAAGGTAACAGGCTGAATCACTTTGAAGGTTGAGTAAATACGCTTTCGACCGGCGAAAAATCCCTAGTTGTAAAATGTTGATTTTGTTCTAGAAAAGATAAAATGAATTGTCGTAAACTTCCCAAAGAGTCAATTAGTCGTGCTTGTCGAAACTGAATACGAAGCATGTCCTCATCTAAGACAAATATTCTATAATACGTAGAGGTTTTTCGAATGCTATTGTTGAATATTTATCGTCATTAGGAATTGAAGTGATATGTTTCCAGGCTTTCAATACCAAATCATCAAAAAATCTGAGGACATTACTGGGGTCGCTCTACCACTGACGATTACTGCACATTGAACTAAAGAAAAGTGTTTCTTGTTTGTACTACATCCTGCAGTGATTTTCTCTGTGCTATTCCTTTTCTGTGACATCACATATGTTCCACTAGTACCTAATTCGCATTGAATCAGAATTCAGGTATCATGCATATTTGTGAAATTTATTGATTTTTGTTCCATAAGGATTGAATTCACGACTAGAGCTACAGTTGTGTTTGTGGTACATATGAGCATTTAGTGATTGGCAGTTCATCAATGTACCCAGTCATTCAAGTGAAAATACTTCTTAATCTTCTAAACTTGTATGTTAACTCTAGCCTGCACTAGGAGTGAGCAATCCAGTGACCATTAATTTTAGCCACATATCAAGATGTGGGTTACGTTTCTTCTGTCTAAAAATACAAAGAATTAATGGTTGGAAGGTCTAAGTGATATAGGTGCAAGTTGTTCATAATGACACATGCATTCTCAATCTGTACAAAATAAAGAGTATACTTGATGTGTTCTACATCAAGGAGGATGTGACAATAATTTAATGCAATAACTGTGTCAAGTTTTGGCATCAATGCACCAGAACTGGTTAATTTTATAATTTTTAAGACTAGTTTGATGTTTAATAATAGTGTTCATCAGCAAGTTAACTGAAGACGACAAATTACTTCCTATTACAGACTTAAATTATAGGTTGTTCAAAGTTGGAAAGAGATCACTACTTGTTAAATAAGTGACTGTACTGTAAAGGATAAAAATCCACGAACTTGGTGTGAACTTGTCGGATTCTCTACATGAGCAAATATGCCATTCAGTAAACTAGTTGTTCAGGTAACATGACAGGTAAAGACATGAGACGTCCACTTGGCATTTACAAACTTGCTCTACATCGAACTCCGACAAGTTACTTGATTTCTGGTCCAAAGAAGATTTCTTTGTTCAGCAACCTATTTTAAGGTGGTATGTAGTTTTGGCACAGCAGTTCAAAACACAGAACACTACATGACCATATTTCGAATATTGGGATTTTCATATCACTGTCCACAGGTGGTGGGATCATAGTCATGATGAGTATTACGTAGGCTGTTAAGTAAATTTGTGAATTAGTTGATAGGTTTGTAAAACTTCACTGACTTAGGATTTTGGGACGTGTTTGTTGATGTGCGGCCTTACTTGTCAATAAATTAATATAGGTGTAAAACTCGGGCATTGTGGTAGTATGTAATCCCATATTAATTTGTTTCTTGAATATACAAAACACAGTAAAGCAGTATTATTTACTGAATGACCGTTTGACCACAATTTATTGTTCATAATCATATCAGTTATAATTAAAGAACTTCGAAATTTTTTTACTTTTATAGTTCTCCTTATTCTTTCCCATTTGTTGTAAGGGTAACGGAATTTTCGAGATGTCTGGGACAGGTGTTGAATCATTGCTATTCCACATATTCTCAATTGGTTCTATAAGTAAAACTTCATTTATCAATCTTCCCTCCCCACTCCTTTTATATGGGAGTCTGTTCCATCCTATTTGTATAGTTGTGTATAACTTTGTGTGATGCTATAAAGCGGAGTTTTTCTCTTGATTTCTTATATTATTGGGGTCTACTAACCTAGATTCTGTTAAGCTTTTGTGCTCCACTAATCTGTGTAACCGTCGTCTACTATTTCGAACTGTGTTTCACCTGGAAATCGTTGCATGGTATTATATAAATTAAATTGAAGAAAATAAAAGACAAGTCAGTGAAGAAAATTTTCCTAATCGAAGAAGTCATCCTCATTGTACAATCGTATTTACATTTAACAGAAATGCTTAGCACTGTCATTGAATAATACGGGTGTATAACAATCTATAAAGCTACTCAGAAGCTGTTTCCAAAAGCAAAAGTAAGTTACGCAATAATTATCCATCACAAAAAAAGTAAAGGTTTAAAATTTGAAAAAAAGTGTTATTAGATGAGCAGCAAGGTGGTTTAGAGTCACTTGATAAATGTGACAATCCAAACATGTAGAATGAATTTTAAGACCATGTAAGCATAAAAGACTCGATCACAAATACACAGAAAGTTCGGGGTTGTATTGACCAATCGCTGGCCACATACAAGTATCGAAACATGACACACCATACACCAGACAGTCTTATCTTATGAATAATCTAAAACGAGGATTCTGGTAGAGCTATGTGGCTTAAGTTCATCAGGTGCTCGAGAATCGAACTAGTAATTGACTGACATCATCCCACTGATAACCATATCAGATATTGTTCTGAAATGTATTTAGAAAGTTCGCCCAATATGACTGACTAGCTCCATTTGTGCAAGTAAATTTATAAACACACATGAAAGTGATCCAAAGCACCAGTTTATCCTTCACAACATATCCACTTATTATTTGGTGAATGTGGAAACTGACTCGTAGCTCATCCGAAAAGAATGTTTTTCTTAGCGATCTAGATAGACACTTCTTCAGAATCGCAGTTGCTGTATCACTTTGGAATTGTCTGTCTCTAGTTCATCGATTGTATCATAAGCAAAAATACTTCTTACTCTTGAAGATAATGAGTGGGTCAGGTTTCTCTTTCTTCTTCATCTTGGAATATGATAGAATAGTGGAAATTATTGAACTCCTTCATTATCATTTCACAGTCAGCATCTTTATCGCATATTGTCAAGGTATCATCCATATATAAACTTTCAACAGTGGATTTTAATACGTCATTTTCTACACTTTCCAGGAAGTAGTCTTTAAGTAGACGATCCATTGTCGCTACTTCATTTTGTCTGTAAAGTGTGTGCCATTGAACTTGAACTGGACATTACAAGTTCACTTCACTTCAGCAGTTGTTCTTTTAAGCAGTGATTTGGAATAACTAATATTTATTATTATTATTGTTTCCTTTAATTCCTAGAGGAACATAGGGCTTCAGTCGTGCGTCTCCATGCGTTCGGTTCTCTGCTAGAGTCTTCACCTGGCTCCAAGTCTGCCCTCTTCACATCACCTCCTCCAACTCACCCTTGCACTGATGACCAACTCGCCACTTGTTTCCCCAGAGTATGGCCAATCCATCTCCATTTCTTCCCGCCTCTTTTTTTCACAATCGGTTCCTGCTGTGTTGGTTCGCTCCCACAGATCTCTGTTGCTGATGTTTTCTGGCAGGTCATCTGATCTTGAGTATTGAGCGAAGACAGCTGTTAATAAAGGTCTGTAGTTTGTTTGAGATGGTCTTTATGACGCGCAGTGCAAGTCTGTGATCCGTATAGTAGCACTGACTTCACATTGGAGTTGAAAATCCGGATCCTATTATCATTTTCATGCTGAGTGCTGTTGACCTCCACACAGACTTGAGAGTAGTGAAAGCTTGTCTTGCTTTTCCGATTCTTGCTTTGATATCCTCATCAGTTCCGCCTGTAGTTGAAGCGATGCTTCCCAGGTAGGTAAAAGAGGTTGTTTCTTTCAGGTTCCTTCCATTTATGCTGATCGTTGTCTGTTGTTGTTGTTCTTGTACAGGAACCTTCATCACCACATCTGTTTTCTCTATGTTCATCTGAAGTCCTATCTTTGATGCTTCTTCTGTCAACTTGTTGCTTTTCACTTCTGTATCAGCCAGTTTGTGGGAAATCAGACATATATCATCGGCGAAGTCCAGATCCTCCAAGGTTTTTGTGTGAGTCCATTTTATGCCTGTTTCCTCATTGCCCACTGTTTGTCGCATTATCCAGTCTACTGCAATCAGGAAAATCATTGGCGATAGTAGGCAGCCATCTTGTCTTACTCCTGTCCTCACTTCGAAGGATTCCGTAAGTTTCCCGTTGTGTATTACTTGGTATGCAGCATTGTCGTACAGCTGTTGGATTTGATGTATAATTGTATAATTGGAATAACTATTATACCGAATTATTATCATCTCTGAATTTGTATACAAAGCAAATAACTTCATTGTTAATTATCATTGACAATTACTCATTCATTAATAGTCTAGTTAGTTCATTTTTATCTTTTCCTTATTGTTTTAGCTAATCCATTGAAGGAGATTGCCATATAGACTTCAACTTCAAAAAGTGTACAACAAAACTAGTGTTACATATTCTGAAATCCATTCGATCTTCTAAGAGTGTCTATAGTTTTTGAGAGGAATGAAACAGACATTCAGTCATCTCATGTTAAACTCCTGTTACAACTAAGAAGAATGTTCAACAACCACAACAACATTAGAGAGTGTATACAAGCAACTGTTCACCGAATGTGTCTTATTTCTTCAGATTCATCAAGGTGTTTTACTTCAAAATCAATAGCTTAGTTGTATAACAAGGTGAACTAAAATATTAAACTATGAACTTCAGTTGGCATGTTTATCTATCCGAGACAGGTGCTGAAATCTCACCAACTAATTTATTTCCACATGTTACTCAAAGTCTTGGAACATTAATAAAAGTCGGTGAAACACTTGAAGTGAATTTTGAATGCTTTGCAGAAGTCAGCGAAGAAGTAAATAATCATCAATCGTCTTGGTGGCCAGCTGAAGTAGTCCTAGTTTCTGGTTATCTTATTCTTTTGAAATGGTGTACCCCAGAGATGAATATTCGCCCACCTGAAGTAAACACATGTTCGAACTCAAATTCTTCTCTTCAAGCAGTAACAACATCTGAGTCGAAAGAAAAGAATAAATTTTGGTTTGACACTAAAGGTTCGAATTGGCAGTGTTTACGACCTATGGGTTGGTGTCTATCAAAAGGTATTGATTGGAGTCCACCAAAACAATTAACTCCTCTTAAAGAAACGCATTGGCAAATTACTGATTGGGCAGCTCGTCTACAAAATCGTTCAGTTAGCAGTGTATTTTTTGAACGACATTGTCTGTATGCTTTTGAAACTATCCGTGTCGGTGGATACTTTGAGTGTGAACATGAACTTGATCCGACATGTGTTTGGCCAGTAAAGGTGAGTGTTTTGTTGTATATATATTCTAAATGTTTTTTTTGATTATTTACAGGTGCTTATGAATATTGGTGGACGTGTTCTATTATCTTGGTTTGGAATTAGTTCAAAAGCTCAAAATTCTGATAATAATAATAAAAATCGTAAAGTAAACAATTTTACATTATTCTATCTTCATCGACGTTTACATCCACTTGGTTATGGAAAGTTGTATGATCTGAAGTATTGTCCACCGCCTGGCTATGTGCTAGAACGTGCTATTACAAATATTGATACTTTTATACGTGGTGCATGTCCAGCTACTTATAATGAATTATCTAAGTCGGTTGATTCTCTTCTATTGAAATCTTTATTTTCTACTGATAATCATAATATAATACTCAGCCTCTTCATGAGTTTAAAGTGGGTTGGAAGCTGGAGGCTGTTCATCCACTTAAACCGTATTTTGTACAGCCAGCAACAGTTGTTAAGGTGAGTTGTCACTGTTTTATTGTTTACTGTAGATGTCGTGTTATTGTTTATCATTAATTATTATTATTATTATTATTATTATTATTATTATTACGGTGAATAATCTTTTTAGAAGGTTGATTCAAATCAGGTTCCCGATGAAGTTACTATCTTGTGGAGACAGGACTTTGAAGGTGATGGAGAGATACCCAGCTGACATCAACAAGCACCAGTCACCATCAATAGGAGAGAGGTGTAGAATAAGTCTTCTCCCCCACTTCACCAACGGACTGATTGGTGACGAAATCTCAGCACGGATCCAAAAAGCTCGAGCTGCTTTCGCTAACTTACACCATCTCTGGCGTAGGCGTGATATCCGACTATCAACCAAGGGACGTGTGTACTACTGCTCAGCAGTTCGCTCCGTCCTTCTCTATGGCTCTGAAACATGGCCAATACGAGTTGAAGACATGAAAAGGTTGACTGCTTTTGATCATAGATGTCTACGATCTCTTTCTCACGTTAGGTGGTGGTATAATAAGGTAAGTAATGCTGACGTTAGGCGTAGAGTGTTGGGCAAAGAGGGAAAATCAATCGACGAGGCTATAAAGTTACACAGATTGAGATGGTTAGGTCACGTGCTGCGCATGCCTAACCATCGCCTCCCCCGACGGACGGGCATTACTAGCTGATATAGGTGCAGGTTGGAAAAGAGTAAGTGGTGGCCAAACAAAAACATGGCATCAATCCATGAAATCCCTGACAGTTGAACTGAGTCAGGTAGGGAGGGAGATGCAGACTTCCGGGTTGGGGCCCGCCCTCGGGACTCTAAGAATCAATGGTGGCTGGAGACAATAGGTGACATGGCTCAAAATCGTTGTCAATGGCTTACGCAGATGTATTCAGTCTCTTGTGTAATCTTTCATATTCCTTTCTACCATTACTCATTCTGTTTCACTCTTATACTTGTCAAAACTCTATTGATTCTCTTCTCTCATCTTCTTGTCTACCTTTGTGTGCTGTTTGGAACGTGGCAACTGGAACTGCTGCACTTCGGTGCCAAGTTCTATGTTGAATTCAGACAGGGACAGGCATACTCCCCCACTTACACCTGTACGGGAAGTATCACATTCCAGCTATATAGGTGGCGCCTGAATGAGGTTGTCAAAGCCAATCACGATCGGGGAAACAAGACAGGCGTTCATTACTCTGAAATCACTGTGGTTATCTGTAGCACTCAACACAAAGAACAAGATCGAAATCCTCAACACTAATATCAGTTCAGCGCTTCTAACATGGTTCAGACACTTGACGGACACGTGTTGTCAAAAGTATCTCCAACAGGCCACTGCAGACTGTCATCAACAGAGATATCTCCACTCGATACTGAAGATCAGATGGCTAGAAAGGATGAGTAACAAGGAATTCTGTCAAGCTATCACTCAAAAGATATGCAGAAGGGAATAGAAATCGATTGGATATACACTAAGGCGACTATTGTGTGAAGTCATATTCTAGGCACCCGAGTGGAACCCGAAAAGGAAGTGACAAGTTGGGCGTCCGAGGATGACATAAAGGGAGATCATGTGAATAGGAAATGAAAGCTCTTGGAAGTGTGTGTGGGTGGTTGTTACTTCCCGGCTGCCCACACCCTGGAAGTTGATTGATTCTTCGGGTACCTGAAACAGAAAGAGGGTTAGTGTTGCATGACCACAGAGTTCAGGGGACAATTGCTTGAGGCCGGCCGGTCACACATGGCTTGTATGAACTGGTTTCTTGCATTGGTTCCGTATGAGTAAACTCGCCGCCGGTTACGAACCACCGTAGGATAAATCGGGATGTACAATTGTTGGGGTTGACCTTTTCCAACCCTGTCTCTCCAGAATAGAGAGACAGCATAGATGGCTGACATGCTGGTCATCTGAGGGAAACACCTTACTGCTGTTGCAGTATGACTCCGCCCACAGATCCCCAGCATAATGTAACAAAAAACCCCCTACACTATGCCGGTAACTAGTTTTAGTCTAATCGCTATCCTAACAACCTTCCTGGCATGGTAAAACCTGCAGGAAAAATAGTTCCAGCCAGTGTAGCTTGTTGAGTCATTGTGATATGCAAGCCCAACCACCACGTCAAGGTAGCAGCTATCAGTCGGGTATTTTTCATTCCTTTTTACTTTCTTCCTTGTCTTTTTTGTGTGTTACATGGAGTGTGGCGACATGAACTACTGCACATTGGAGTAAAGTTCTATGTTGAAAGCAGTCAGTCAGGAAATGAGAGCTGATGGTGGATTTGTAATGCCAACCAGAGACTTCAGAGAACAGATTGTAATGTAGATGAGCCCCTGAAGCTGTATTTTCCAATCGGAACCAGGGGTCGAATAATAATAATGGGAAGTAAAAATCCTATTCAACATTTGAACGAAGAAAGAACGAACATATTTGCACGATGATACAAGCTGGTTTTATTTCTTAGATTCTTTTCAACTGTGTACATTCTAAATGATATCAGAATATAAGATTCGAAATTCCTTTTTCCTTGCAATGACTTCGAGTTATAGATAACAAATATCAGTTGATATAGGAATTAAACTTGTGCACTGTGGTAGATTATAATTCCATTATGAGGAAAATTTATTTTGATAAAGTCTCACAGTGTTGTTGTTATAAAGTAAGTAATATTTACTGATGACCACGTTTCGAGTACAATTTATCACTGCTCACACAACTTTCTAACTTCGTTTATATAATTCCATTATTTTTCATCGCTTGACTTGATTGGTAGTAGACCTAAATGATGAAATAGAACAGATAGAAGAAGAGGAAGTGTTGGTGTTAAATAAATAACTATCCTATAAAATTCATTAGGAAGATCAGAAAAGGTCAAAAGCAAAATAAAAATAACGTTGAAACTAATAACGATAGCATTAATAAGAAAGAATATAAGGCATCTACTGTTATACCATGTAAGCAGGGAACATATGAGGTCCTCCCTATGTAGGATTCTTAATAAAGCAGCAATTAGAGTGGTATTTAAACCTACAAACTCACTCAGAGACAAGCTCTGTAGGCTAAAAGACCCAGTTGACCCAATTAGACAAAATAATATAATTTACAAAATACCTTGCATTGACTGTGAGTTAGGTCAACTACATAGGTCAAACTAGTAGGTCACAGGTGGTTAGGTTGTCGGAACATAAGAATTTAGCTAAGGTAAGAATGGTTGACCCCGAAAAGATAAGTAATTTAGAAAAAAGGTCAGCACTACATTGCACTGCATGCATTAACACACAACTACACAGTAGGGTGGGAGAGGGTTAAAATTTTAAAAAGTAATCTAGGTGGTAGGTGGAGAGAAAGAGAGTGGTTCATTACTGAATCCTTGTTCATCGAGTCTACACCCAACACATGCAATAGGAATGACTCATCACTCATAGTCAATAATTGCGAAAAAGAGGGTGAAATTATCCAGTGTTGAAAGATTATTTACAGTATGGTTAGACAAAAGGAGTGGGGTGGGGGTAAAGTTCAGTTTTAGCTTGGAAACAAGAATAGACTAGAGACAGTATAGAAGATTGAATTTAGACATATTGTGATGGAGAGTTCAAGAGGGTGGTAGGGAAATAGTAAAGGTAACATTATGACATAGACAAACAATTAAGTAAATTTGTCAACTTTATTGTGAGTTCAACTCAGTGAGTGAAAAATAAAATCAACAATAAGTCGGATGTTACGCAATAGAAGAAAAGACAATAAAGCACAAGAACAAAATAATTCTAGTTATCAGGGTAGTGAGAGATTAGTCATACTGTCTGTCTGTATACGGAAATTGGGTCAAAGTTTTTTGATAGCAATAGCTTCTACTAAACGAAGCATAATCATGATTTTCTTTCAGTGAGTTGAACTCACTATTAGATTTCTAAATTGACTTAATTTGAATTTTGCTATTCACCCTCATCCTCTTGAATCGTCTATCATGATTATTATTATTATTATTGCTATTATTTTTATTCTTGTTCCCTTGGGTTCCTAGTGGAACATAGGGCTTCAACTACACGTCTCCACTTGCTTCTATCTCCTGCTGTACTTTTCACCTGCATCCATGTTAATCCATACTGTTTCAGCTCCTCTTCACACGATCTCCTCCATGTCACCCTTGCAGGTGCCACTGTCCTGTAGTTGAGACAATGGTCCCTATATAAGTGAATGAAGTAACCTCTTTCAAATCCCTCCCGTTGATGGTGATTGGCGGTGGGTGTTGCTGCTGTTGTTGTTGTTGGTTGGTTATTTTCATAACCTCCGTCTTGTCTGTGTTCACCTGGAGTCCTGTCTTTGCTGCTACCTCGATGAATTTGTCGGTTTTCGCTTGTGTCTTCGATTTTGTGTGACATCAAACATAATTCATCCGCGAAATCCAGGTCTTCTAGGTTCTTCATGTCAGTCCAGGATATCACTGTCTTCTTGTTTCCTACTGTCTGACGCCTAATCCTGTCCACCACAATTAGGAATATCATTGGTGATAATAAGCACCCTTGTCTGACTCCTGTGTTTACTCCAAACGCCTCGGTGAGTTTTCCATTGTGGATCACTTGACATGTGCCGTTGTCGTACAGCTGTTGAGTAAGGTTGATGAATATTTGGGGTACGCGGTAGTACTCGAGTAGTTTCCAAATTACTTCGTGGTCAACGCTGTCGAAGGCCTTCTGAGTGTCTATAAAGTTGAGATAGAGGTTTGATTGCCATTCCATGCTTTGTTCTGTGATGATGATGCGTAGAGTTGCGATTTGGTCATAACATGATTTGCCTTTCCTGAATCCAGCTTGTTCTGGTCGGAATTGTGTATCCATTGTGTCCTTTATTCTTTCCAGGATGATGCGACTCAGAATTTTACTTGGCGTCGACAGGAGCATGATTCCCCGCCAGTTCTTGCAGAGTCCTAAGTCGCGTTTCTTTGGTAGTTTCACGAGGTAACCTTTCCTCCAGTCAGTGGGCACCTTTCCCTCCTTCCAGACCTTTTGCAAT